CTAATTATTATTAATTATATTTTTAGTTTCTCAAGACAGGGTTTCTCTGTGTAGCCCTGGCTGTCCTGGAATTCACTCTGTAGATCAGGCTGGCCCACCTCTGCCTCCCAAGTGCTGGGATTAAAGGCCTGGGCCACCCCCCCCCCCCAGCTTCAAACACAGTATTCTTTAAGACTGTTTTGAGACATTGACATTTGGAGGAAAGCAGGAGCAAAGATGAGAGCCAAGGAGTCCCTGTGATAGGAAGGGCACTTGTTCTACAGCTAGCCCCAGGACTGCTCAAACCCAGGACCGGCCTTTCCTCTGCCCATGTCGTACCCCAGTGACATCCTCTTTAGAGTCATTTCCCAAGAGCATTGCCCCTTTACAGATCGCAAACATCAAGTGACTTGTTCTAGGTTATCTGCTACACAAAATGTCTGAGTCAGAGTCTGAACCCAGATCTCATCAATTCTAAATCATGTGGCCCTGGCCACAAAGGACAAGACTTCCTCCAAGACCTCAAGCCTTTAAGGGGCTGGAATTAGGCTCAGCTAGCAGAGCAGTTGTCTAATGTTGTAAGGCCCTGGGTCAATCGCCAGCACAAAAGTCTTCTGTAGTATTTCCCTAAGCTAGGTAGTAAGCATACTGAACAACATGTTTCTCTCCTTTCTCCACACAAGGCTGAGGCTGGGAGGATCTAGTGTTCCCCAGGCCTAGGGAGAGTGGGTGGCTGAAGACTCTGACACTATACACCAGAGGAACCTAAGAGCACCCCACAGGGCTGGAGGGATACAGAACAAGCTGATAAATGACATCTAGGACGGCCAAGATTTCAACATGGTCATTGTGAAAGATGGAGGTGGTGGTGGGGGGAGCAGAAGAGAGCCTTGAAAGGGCTGTGCTTTTCTCTGGGCTTTAAAGGAAAAGCAGAGGGGCCACATCCCTAGCAAAGGCCACTGGGAAGATCAGAGGTTCAGAGTAAGGCATCTTGGTCTCACTGATTCTAAGGAACCAGTCCTTCTTCCTGCCTCCATTGGACCAGCTTCAGAAAGGAAGGGCCTACTGAACCATCCCACTCAGGCCTGGAGATACCAAGGCAGGGCAGGGGCTGGCCATAGTTTTCCTTGCTTCTGCTTGGGGACCAGGAACACAGAAGAGCAAGCCATCATGGCACAGTCTGTTTCTTGAACAGTGCCTGTCAGCTAAGAGGGAGTGCTGGGCTGTCCCCTCGGGCCGAGCATGGGTCAGCCTTTGCCCAAGGACACGGCCATTCTCCATGTGTAAGATGGAGACTCCAGAGCACCCCTGTCCTACCCACCCCTCCCAGGGCGGCTACCAAGAGGGACACTAAGATAGGTAATGACGTTCCTGAAGCTGTGTACCATTGTCTTTCTTTGTTCTCTCTCTCTCTCTCTCTCTCTCTCTCTCTCTCTCTCTCTCTCTCTCTCTCCTCTTTGCTTTATTTCAGTAGAATCTATGTTGCTATAGCTGGTCTCAAATTTATTATGTAGTCCAGGCAAGTCTAGTTCTCACTATATAGCCCAGGCTGGCCTCAAACTCACTATGTAGATCAGATCGGCCTTGGACTCAAGGCAATCCTCCTGCCTTTGCTTCCTAAGTGCTGGGATTCCAGGTGTACACTGACTATCACAAAAGACTTCTAACCCAGCTTCATTCATTTCAGGGAATAAGCCCTGCAGGCTCTATGAAAGAGGTGTGGGTCTCCTTGGCTACCCCAAAGGTCAGGCCCTGGATGGAATCCCAGAGGAAAACACAGATTTTTAGTCTCTTCCTTCAACTCACTGGAGAGATCTGGTCTTCCTTTGTGGTTTGTGGGAGAGGTAGAGATCAAATCTAGGGCCTAATACAAGCTAGGCAAGCACTCCACACTGAGCTCCACAGCCGGCCTGAGGGATGTTTTAACTAAAGCCCTCCAAAAGGTTGCTAAGTAAAGAACCACTTTCCAGTCTTGGGCCCACAAAGCCTGTCTGCAATCAGAAGAGGAACAAAGGAAGCAATAAGCTCTCCAAAAGCCAGTTGGTGTGGGTGGACCCTGGATCAGGAGAGGTGGGAAAGGCCTTGGCCTTCTGGGCTGAGCTCCAGCATTTCTGATAAGGAACTCCAATCCAGCCCATTGTCTGATTGGGCCCTTTCTCTGGTAAGAAAATCAGGGGTCACCCCGGTCATCCCTCTGCCATTGTAGTGTTGGGAGATTCTGCTCCTGCCTAAGCCAGCTCTCCTGAGCTTAGGTTCCTTGTCTAGTTAGTGAGAGCGTTGAGCTGAATTGTCCTTTCCAAACTTCTCTCAACCTTTTTCTACTCCGAGATAGTCATTCATACCCCTGACTCTGCACCAGATCAACCTAGACTTGTCTCGCAGATAAGGGCCCTAGGCTCAGCAGGCGGGAACCGGCTTCTCATTGGGAGAGCCAGGTAACCCTCCTGCCGGAGACTCTGTCTTCCAGGGAGGTCTGACTCACCCTTCACTTTCAGATACTTTCCAGCACACTCCACTAGTAGCTCCAGCCAGCAGGGCTGAGGGAGCCTGGGTTCTCGGCCCTGACGGCATAGTCCACATACCTGTTACCAGGTTGCCGGGTCACCCAGGAAGGGGTCAGGGAACACACAAGGGGGCCCCTAGAATCTGATGGAACTTGTCTTCACCAGCACCACCCACCCAGCCAGCCCTCTCCTGTTTCCTTCATGACACCCAAGAGACTCCAGTGTTTTAACAAACATGTTTATTAGAAAAGTAAAAATATTGCATAGGTCTTAATACTTGAACATCAAGTGTATTCATGAACCGTGAGTATCTTCATGTAAACAGTTCTAGATGGAAGACCCAGGTGGCACTCCTCTGGGGGAGGGGTTCCAGCCCCCCACCCCCATCCTCCCAACCCCATCCCCTCACAGTTCAATCCTCCAGTCCATGGCAGGGGACAGGCTGGACGAAGCTCCCGGGTGTTATTTTTTTCAAGTGTCAAAGATCCCGAATGATCCTAACACCCCACCCCTTCCTACTCTTACATTCATGCGTCTGTAAGATAGCTGCCTCGGACAGGTCAGTAGTGAAGCTCCCCCCCACCCCCCCCAAACAAAAGATATAAAACAAACGACAAACACTCGGTCTGAAACAGACCGTGAGATACATGAACTATCTCCGAGACCTCCCCCCTCCCTCGGCACACGCCCCCGGCAGAGGCCAGTGCAGACCAGCTGCCCTCCGGGCTCTGTCACACTACTGTTGTTGTAACTGTCAGTAATAATAATAATATATATATAAAAAAAAAAGGTACATGCTACATACACATCCAGCCAGACGCCTGTGCGGCCCCTAAGCCTTTGTTTCATGCTACAGTACTAAGGGGCATGTGCCCCAACAAGGAGCCACCTGCACACGACCTAAGCGACCTCCCTTTGACACTTCCTTCTCCCACCTTGGCCCTGCGCCCCTCAGGTGGCTCTTGTCAGTTTTCTAACGCGGCCATCAGTCCTCGCCTGAAGTCTCTCCACCACAAGTCTCCTGTCTCCGCTACCGGGGGGCAGTGCGGGCCGCCCCCCCAGGACGAAGTTCAACACTCTTCAATGAGCAGCTGTTCGGAGCTGTAAAGCTTCTTCTTGATGACTCTGAAGCCGGTGCTCAGCGTCAGCGACTGGCTGTAGCCGGGGACCAAGGAGGAGTTGGCAGAGCTCAACAGCCCCTGAATCTTGGGCCAGAGGCGAGAGTCCAGGCGCAGCACCAGGGTCAGCTGGAAGGTGGGCACTAGGCTGGGGTCGAGGGCCAGCTGGGCCACGCTGTGGCAGCTCTTGCCTTGCTCCACACAGACGTCCAGCAGTGCCCCCCGCAGGCCGCACGGCTCGCTGTACGCCAGGCGCAGGAGCTCCTTGCCCACCTGGCTCACCAGCTGGCCTGGCATCAGCAGGCGTGCAGGGCGCCGCGAGCCCAGTCGCGCCTGGGACAGGCTCTCCTGCAGCAGCTGCATCAGGTTGGCACACAGATGCTCATCCTCGGGGTCGCTGAGGAGCTCAAAGTCGGGCAGAGACACCCCATCCAGGTATGAGGAGTCTGGAAGAGAGAACACAGGGAACGGCATTAGAGCGGCTTCCGCAGGAGCTGTACCGGCAGCCGGGGGGAGGTGTAGTTTTGCTAAGAAAACGGTGTTCCTGCCCACTCCGTGCCTCAGTTTCTCCGGCCCACACTCGTGCCTTCTAACCCCGGGGCAATCTGGTTCTCGTGGTGGGATGGGAAGCCAAGGTGGCTTTGATCTGGGGTACAGCTCGGTTCGTTCCCACCTCCCGGGCCCCCGGAGTCGTGTACCGCACCCGCTCACTGCTCACCTTCCTCCGGCCCGAAGCCACTGTTGCTGCTGTCCAGGGACTCACAGTCCGAGCTCTCCAGGCTCGCGCAGCGGTCAAGGCCCTCTTCTCGGGCCGCAGACCCCCAGGCGGAGCGCGGCGGCCGATCGGTGGCTGGAGTTCCGGACGAGGACGAAGAGGAAGAGGAGGAGGAGGACGAGGACGAGAAACGATCCCAAAGGCTAGGCATGGCGAGGTCAGACACCAGGACGCTGGCTGCTGAGCTTCGGGTGAAGGAGCGCAGAAGACGCTGAAAGACAAGAGGGACAAGGACCCCACGTCAGTGTCGGCGCTGCACAGGACCGAGGGCGCTGGGGCCCCGACAGCCGAGGTCGTCCCCCCTCGATGAGATGTGCACACCCGGGAGGGACACTCACCTGCTAGCGCGGTCAGTGAGGACTGTGGTCAAACGCGCCCTGCCTCTCGAAGGGTGAGCGAACTGGTGCCAACCCCCGATCACTGCCCGGGCCTGTCCCTTCGAACCCTCTCGCACCTCCCCCTGCCCGCTGCGATCCCCTAGCACCAGCGCGCAGCAGCCTATAAGGGCTCTCGCGGGGCGGCCACGCCCCCTCCGCGCCGCAGCCCAATCGGGACCCGGGAGTGTGGCCCACCTCAGCCAATGGGCTCCGGGCGCACGTTCGCAACGTTCTCTCCTGCCTGGTGACAGCGGCCCGGCCCCGCCCCCACGGAGCCCCAGAACGCTCCCAGCCGAACCTCCCCGCCCCCCCTCCCCCCCGTCTTAGCCGCGGCCACACCCCCTTTCTGGAAGGGAATGGAGGCGGCTTTCAGCAGCTGCCAAGGTCCCTGAGGGCGGTCGCGGCAGGGGAGGATCAAGGAAAGACTTGTTTATTATAGGGTCGCGTTGCTGGGGGGGGGAGGGGACAGCCCACGGCTGCACTGCACTGGGACGAAGAGTTAGGGGACCCGGAGCGGCGATGAACAAGGGGAGACAGGTACCCCCGATGTCTAGGAGCCCGAGGGCCAAGGGACCAGTACCGGGCACACAAGTGGATGCCCGTGGGACCCTGGCGCGGCGACAGACGTTACCCCGCTGTCCCGCGAGCATCACCAACGGGATGTACATTTTGGTGATAGGTCCAAAGACAAGGCCACTCGGGGCCCGGCGGCCTCCACGTACCCCATCAGTCTTCCTGTTACCGTACAGCCCCCCCGGGGGATGTGTTTTTGAGGACATCAGTGCTCCCCATCCCACCCACCCCCCGGTGCGAGGTTGTCCTCCAAGCTGAGGGTTTGGGTGGGGGTTAGAGTTCACGGGCTCGGATTCAGAGCGCCTGATCCACGGCCAGGGAACAAGGACTCACGTCAAACCGACACGCTGACCCACCCGCAGGCCTTAGGGACAGACCACTGCGGAGCCTGTGCCTTCCCAGCCCGCTGCGGCAGAGCCCCTGGCGTCCGCCGGGTCCTAGAATCCCTCGCACGCTTTGTGTTAAATAAAAAAGAGGAGAGAGAGAGAGACTCATAGAGAGTTCAATGGAACCCAGGACGGAGATCTTCGGGAAAGCCCGAGTGCAACAGCCATCAGGGGTTTCATCATTCAGGCGGGGCAACAGGAAATCTGGCCTGGCAGCGATGCTTGAGGGTTAATGGTGATTGCTTAGGGTGGGAGGAGATTCAGACGGACTGGACTTTTTTTTTTTTTTTCCCCTAAGTTTTTTTCAGTGTAGAACACCTGGACCCTGATGGAAGAAAAACCAAACTTACATCAGACACTTTGGCCCGGAGGGCAGGAACCAAACCAGATCAGACGGGCGGGTATCAGATCGCTGCAGGGCAGGTTTGCTTGTGACACATGACACTTGCCCGGGAAGTCAGGCCACTGTCCTTTCCAGCCCCACCTCCCACCCCCCAGTTTTATCTTTTGACAGTCTCACAGCTGGCCAGCCTGGAACTCACTCTATAGACCGGGTTGGCCTTGAACTCACAGCGATTGATCTGCCTTTGCCTCCCAAGTGCTACAATTAAAGGCGTGAACCACGTGAACCATGCTCCTACCGCCGATATTTTAAAAATTAAAAAAGACTGACTTTTAGAACAGCCAGGTCTTATAACTGCAAAAGGAATGGAATCCAGTCTCCCACACTCACTCTGATTTTCCAGGTGGGAGAACCCCTGCTTCAGAACACATTTATGAACCAACACCCCCAAGGAGGTGGGATGGGCTCAGATCAGGAGACACCGTTTTAAAGACAGCTGCAGAAAAAAAGTACTGTGTTTGCCTCCAGGGCTTCCAGGCCTAACCCATGGCTTTCTTTCCTGACATTCAGATCTGCCACTTTGCTAGGAGACATCGGATGGGGCGGTGAGATGAAATGCTTCTGCAGGAGAAGGTGACATCATCGTGTAATGTCTTTCACGGAGTGGGAGAGAGTGGAGGGCCTGTGTGAGGGAATCTTCCCGCTGCCAGGGAGAAAGGAGAAAGAAATCAATTGACCAGCAAAGCACCCATTCCGCCTACTAGGCTGAGCCCATTGGAGATAGACTATGGATGCTTTTTCTTCACCATTTTTTTTTCCTATGCTGGGGATGAACCCGGTGCTTCAGGCATGCTAGGCACAGCTCCGCCACTAGGCTGCATCGCCAGCCTCCCCTCCCCCCTCCTCTCCTCTCTATTACATTTTTTTTTGGTAGAAAAAAAATACTTCAGAAAAATATGACGCATTGGCCTAGGAAAAATAGTTTTTCTTGAAAGTGAATATTAATAAGCAAAAGAATCCCTGACCAGTTTGGAAAGAGGTTTATTAGAATTCAATCATTCATCCAACAGACAACATCATGGACTATGTAAGCTTCCCGTACCCCCCCCCCTTTTTCAGTTTGGTGTCTCTTTATTTTTTGAAGCAGGGTCTCATGTACCTCAGGCTGGCCTAGAACTTGATATGACCTCTTGAATTTCCCCAAGTGCTGGGACTACAGGTATGCATCACGAAGCCTGGTCTGAGCTACACCGGGGGTCAGACTGAACCCAGTGTTTTGTGCATACTAGGCAAGCACTATGACTAAGCCACATCCAGCCTCCATCAGTGAATCTTTCTGTTCATGAAAGAGCTTCCCTCACATGGGAAAGGGTTGTTTTCAGAGGCACTGGATAATTCTGTGGATTTCTGTTGTTTTCCCCAAAAAGCACTCTATCTAGGGCCTGGGATATTGGTTGATAGAGTGGCAGCCGAACACACGGGAAGCCCTGGGTTCCATCCCCACAGGGAAAAAAATCCACACAAGTCAGGTGTGTGATGCACCTCAGGAGGTGGAAGCCAGAATATCAGAAGTTCAAGCTCATACCAAGCCACGCAGAGAATTCAAGACCTTATCTTTTTTGGTTTGTTTTGTTTTTTGAGACAGGGTTTCTTTGTGTAGCCTTGGCTGTCCTGGAACTAGCTCTGTAAACTGGACTGGACTTGAACTCACAGAGATCCACCTGCTTCTGCTTCTGGGGTGCTGAGGTTAAAGGTGTGTGCCACCACAGCCCCATAAAACCTTGTCTTTGAAAAAAAAGAATTTGGGCTGGAAGGATAACTCAGCTGTGAAGAGTACTTAACTGGCTTACAGAGGACCCCAGTTCTGTCCCCAGTACCCATGTTGGGCAGCTCACAACTACCCGTAACTCCAGCTCCAAGGAAATCTGATAATTTATATGCATATTTTAAAATAATAAAAGTACATGTCTTTTTACATGTATTTAATCATGATGTGTGTGTGTGTGTGTGTGTGTGTGTGTGTGTGTGTGTGTGAGAGAGAGAGAGAGAGAGAGAGAGAGAGAGAGAGAAAGGACAATATATGGGAATCGGTTCTCTTCTTCCTCCACTCTGTGTTCGGGAGACTGAACCCCAGTTTGGCGGCTTGGCAACAAGCATTTTTGCTCACCAAGCCATCTCAACAGCCCCAAGAAATCCATCCTTGGTTTTTACTGGGGATTTTGTTCAGCATTTGGTTTTTGTTTTACTCCAGGGGTTGAACCCAGGGTACATGTTGGAAAAGTGCTCTTGCATTGAACCCTAATACCAATCATAAGTCTCATTTTTAAAAAAGTGATGAAGAAAAGGACTAGGAACCTAGCCTGGTGATGTTTTTCAGACTAGGAGAGGATGGATAAACAGACTCCTCTACAAGGAGGCCTGACAGAGGCCTGGACTGGACACCTACTTGGTATGACGGGGACAAGATCTATCACTGCTCAGAGAACGTTTGAACCTAGAATGGGAGGGGGTTCTTGGGGAGCTGGGGTGACCTCTTCCCCCCATGTGAAGGGACAGCTTTATCTGCTAGCTTCTGACTCAGGATCCATCATTCACTATCCATCCCTCCCTCCCCCAGTGCCCTGGCTGCGACAAGTCGGGCTTGCCCGGGCATGCCTCCCCTCACCCCCAGCCCAGCCCATAGGTTTCTTCCTTCCTGTCATCTTGCCCCCTAAAAGCCTGAGGGCAGTGTTCTACCCATCTTAATACCCGTTAGCCAGCACTGTGCCGGGTCCACAGGACGTCCCCCCCCCCCACCTGAACGAATGTTGGGATGGACCAGTGGACAGCTTATGAAACATCAAGACGGCATTCCCAGAATCACACAGATGTGTAACTGGAGTCCTAGGATCGGGCTGGGCGTGCAGAGGGGCTCTTCACAGGACGTCCAGGCTACCTCTCTAGGCCCCTTTGCAACCCAAGCTGGGCCCAAAGCAGAACATTTCCTTTGCTCGGGTCGGGGATGGGAGCACCACTCCAGGACAGCCCGGTTAGCTCGTCCAGCTGGAGTGCAGCATCCTTAGGCAACAGGCAGCCAATCACCCAAATGCACAGAGCCCATCCAGGGACTCTTGAAAAGCAGTGTTTTCCCTTTAAGTACCTCAAAATACTTGACAGTATTTTATGTCTTTATGTTGGAGCTGGGAATGGATCCCACGGCCTCACATACGCTAGGCAGGCGTTCTTACCACTAACATACACCTCCAAAGTGGAGCCTTTTTAAAATCTGAGGCGAGAGTCTTATCTAAAATTAATCGTCTCAAGGTGAACAAATAGTACATTCAAAATGTTGGGCAACCACCTCCTCCACTTGTTTCCAAACATCTCTATGGCTCCAAAGAAGACAGGTACCAATCCATCAGTATCTTCAAAACACCCCCGAAGCTGATGATCCCTGTCAGGTGAGGGCAAGCAGGGGGACCTCTTTGTTCAGCCACAGACATGTCATTCCCATCCGAGTCTCCCATTTGCGTGTGTCTTTAAGGAGTCCTGCTCCAGGAGACAATTCTCATCTGCACACAATGTGCAACCTGCACCCTGCTGGGGGATGGCCCTAGTGGCGAGGTGGCGGACATCCAACTGGGAGTTGGTTGGTGTCACATTTTGGTGACTTGCACCTCCGGAGTTGGCAATCAGGCCCCACGCCCCAGCCTCTGTGGCCAGAGTCATGACCATGTAGAACAGATACCTCACCCTCGTTTGTGCTCTGTTCCCGTGGGACCCACCGGAGCCTGCAATTTAAAGTCCGCGAGCGCTCACTCCTGGCCATCTGCCCCTCCCTCTGTAGGCGGTGCCTGTCCTGAGCACCAGTTCCCAGAGCCGCAGTCTGGCAAGTTGCCCCGGTCGGGTTTGGGAAGTTAAACCAGATCTTGGGGTGGGAGTGTGAGTCTGGGAACCCTAGAATTCAAGATGAAAATCCTGAAGACCCGTGGGGTTGTCTCTGCTCCTGCGCTGGTCGTGGCTTCCTTAGCTCTCTGGAAACTTCGGGCATAATCTAAGTGGAGATGGCTAGGGAACAGATCGCATCCCCGGTGGTGAGGGAGAGGGTGGAGCGGTAACAGGAGGTGGAGACAATAAGCCTGCAAATGTGTACCCAAAGACTTCTCTGGCTCGTTTACTTAAAACAACAACAGACAGCTTGGTTCAGAATAGCAAGATTGTAGATGCACCTGGTCCACTGGAGGGCTGTGAAAAGCTGTTGACAGCTCCCATCACAAGCCTTCAAGTGGGATTTTGATTGTTCTAAGGGAGTGTTAAAAACCCAGTGGGAGGCTTTTTGCAAATGAAGCTGCTTTTTGAAATGGAAATACTGACAATACAATATAGTACAGCGTTTGAAAGCAGCTTTTAAAATCTTATCTAGAAAGGACACCCCAAGGAAAAGACACGGTGCCCTTCTACTACACCCCATGCCCAGAGAGCCCATTAATCCTTCCATCCCCAAGGGGCTTTTGAATCTGATTAAATATTGGAATTAGGGGCTGGGGGGTGCAGCTCAGAAATACAGCATGTGCTTAGCATGCATGAAGTTCTGGGCTCAATCCCAGCACCACACACAAAAACAACAACAAAAGGGATTTTTTTTTCGGGGGGGGGGGGCTTGTAACATATAGTTGCTCCTCCCTCCAAACTCCATTTACATGGGGTGGGTCCAGTTGGGGTCCTTTTGTACAAGTGACTCCCGGCCATTTTGTGCTCATCTCTACATCTCTGCTGACCTCTGGGGAAGAAGGGCAGGGAAGGAGGCTGGGGCGGGCTCCTCAGCCAATGCAAGCCTGTCTGTGGGGGCAGGGACCCGTGCCAGGGGTGGGTGAGGGCATACAGCTGCAAAGACAAGGCCTAGATGTGACAGCAGTGAGCTCACAGATGGCCAATTCTGCTAGGGTCCTGAGTTTCCCAAGATGTCATTTCCTCTGGGGACAGGGCAGAGGCGAGGGGAACCCCACAAAGGGCTGGCTTCATAAACTGTCCCTGTCGAGGGCCAGAGAGATCCTGAGAGCCGGGAGGGTAGATTCAGGATTCTGCCAGACTATTTATTCCAACAGAAGCAAAGACCCAGACAGCCTGACCGCCTTGGTGCGACCCTCCCAACTTTTCAGCTCCCACCCCAGGGACGCAGCGAGGCTTGGAACTCCAGGACAGTGTCTCTTTTCTCCTGCACCCGTCCACCCCAATGGCTCTCATTACCCAACTTTCTGCCGGCTTTGAAGGACTCCTCTGCCATCCTGGGTCTGAAACACTTACGAAGAAAGAAAATGATGGCGTTGGGAGGGCTAGGCAGCCCCTTCCCTAGTTAGTCCCAAAAGACAGGCTACATAACTCTCCATTTCCTGCAGTCAGTGGAGGTCCTATGGAGTAATGGACCAGGAGTGCAGCTACCCTGATTTCAAGGCTGTTTGGCTGCTAAGGACGATGGGAGTTGTTTTGGGTATATCCTTGGTACAGATCCCAGGAGGCATAATATGACTTTGTTATAAATGATACAACATTGCACTCTGGTATATAGTTGATCTGTGTTAATATAAAAATAAACTGACTACGTTATTTAAGCTCTGTTTAAATCGTGTGTGTGTGTGTGTGTGTGTGTGTGTGTGTGTGTGCATGTGCATGTACAGATCAAAGGACAGCTTTGTGGAGTTGGTTCTCTCTTTCTACCATGTACACCCCTAGAATCAAACTCAGGTCAGCAGGCTTGTTGGTAAGCACCTTTACCTGCTAAGCCATCTCACTACCCCCCCCTTTTTTTGATTATTTTTCTCATATAGCTCAGGCTGGCCTTGAACTCAAAGTGGGGAGCAGGGACAGGGTGGGCTTTGTTCCTCACACTGGAGATGTGAGTGGGAAATACCAAGTCGTCAGGGATGGGATCATGTTGGCAGCCAGAATTAAAATCACCACCTGCCCAGACAACAGAGCAAGCTCATTTTTATTTTCCTTTTCTTCTCTTTATAAAAAGATTGATTTTATTTATTTGAAAAGTCCTGTATTGCTGGGAGGTGATGGCACACATCTTTAATGCCAGTACTTGGGAGGCAGAGTCAGGCAAATTTCTGGGTTCTAGGCCAGCCTGTCTACAGAGTGAGTTTCAGGACAGCTAGGGCTACACAGAGAAACCTTGTCTTGGAAAAAAGACAAAAAAAGGAAAAACATCATGTGTGTACGTGTGTTTGCATACACATGAGCGCAGATACTTGAGAAGTCTTGGAAGCTAACATTGGTGTTCGATCCCCTGAAACATGAGGGGAGCCACTCATGGGTACCAGGAACTGAACTCAAGTTCCCAGAGGAAGAGCAAGTGCCCCTAACTTCTGATCCATCTCTCCAGCACCTCCTTCTTTTATTATTATTTTTGAGACAGATCTTGCTATCACTGTATGCTTGGCTAGTCTGAAATTTGCTATACATATAGATCAGGCTGGCCTCCAACTCTTGACAATCCTCCTGCCTCTGCTTCCCAAGTGCTGAGTTACAGGGTGTGACATCAGGCCCAGCTCAAAAGTCTGTCTTGATTTCCAATGGCTTTAGCAGCCAACAGTAGGTGTTTGTATATCTGTCAATTAAAATAATTAATATGTGGCTGGGAAGATGACTTAGTCAAGAGAGTGCGTGGCCCACAAGCAAGACAACCTGAGTTCAGCCTCCAGACCTACATAAAAAGCCAGGCACAGCGGCATGGGCTTGTAATCCCAGTGCTGGAGAGGTAGAGGCAGGGAGACCCCTAGGGCTCTGACCAGCTAGTCTAGACTAATTGGCAAGCTCCAGATTAGCAAGAGACTTTCCCCAAAAGACAAGGTGAACAGATTCTGAGGAATGACACCAGAGGTTGAACACACACACACACACACACACACACACACACACACACACACACCAATATTTGTGTACCATATGTAAGCAGGGTTTGGGTTTATCATTGCCACTTTACAGGTAAGAAAATGGGAGTGCATGGGGTTAGGGATTTAGCTCAGTGGCAGAGCACTTGCCTAGCAAGTGCAAGGCCCTGGGTTCGGTTCCTAGCTCCGGAAAAAACAAAAAGAAAAAAGAAAAAGAAGCCGGGCGGTGATGGCACACGCCTTTAATCCCAGCACTCGGGAGGCAGAGCCAGGCAGATTCTGTGAGTTCGAGGCCAGCCTGGACTACCAAATGAGTTTCAGGAAAAGGTGCAAAGCTACACAGAGAAACCCTGTCTCAAAAAACCAAAAATAAAGAAAAAAAAGAAAAAGAAAATGGGAGTCCAGCTATGGGGCCTTGCCTGAGGTTGCACAGTCAGCAGACTGGAACCATGATTCTAGACACATCCTGGATGCTGGGCCCCAAATACTCTGAGCTGTGAGCCCTGAGAGAATGTGAAGACTGGGGGAGGGGGCATCACTGGACCCAGAACAGCTGGAGCGAGCCCTTGTAATCCCAGGGAGCTGTTGACATAAGACACCTCTGGTGCTGGCCTTTGTGCTCCCTGACCAGGTTCTTCCTTCGTCAGAATTCAGCAGGGCCCCCTCACTGCTGCCCTGACTAAAATGGTGAGAAAGGCGGGCTGACACCCAAGGGATATCCCTTTGCCAAACACCCTTAGTCCCAGAAGTGACAGTGACTCTGTCATCACGTCACCCCTGTGGGATCCACCTCCATCCTCTATCCCACCCAAGGCTCTGATGTCCCTCTAAATGTGGTGTGTGAGAAGGGGGGGTGTCTTCCCAACTCCAGTTATCCTATCTGTAACCCACAAAGGGACAGACTTTGGAACAGACCTCCAGGAACCACAGTTGAATTTTGATCTCAGTCTCAAGCAATCTCAAGGCTGGGGCTGTAGCTCACTTAGAGTACTCGCCCGGCAGGTAGGACGCCCTGGGTTCAAGACTCAACACCGCATAAATCAGGCAAGGTGGCACATGTCTATAATCTCAGCAACTGGCAGATGACAGATCATCCTCGGCTGCAGAGTGCTACAGAGTGAGTTCGAGGCTAGCCTGAGCTACTGGACACCCTGTCTCAAAAAGTACAAAAAAAATAAGTAACAAACGCAGAGAGACACAAAAACTTATAGACTACGCTCTGTAAATTGGTACACACACACACACACACACACACACACACACACACACACACACACACACGGAGATGACAACACAGGGCTGCTCAGTCCCTCTCCCCTCCTCCCACAGCTGAGATGCTCTCGAGGAGAGGGGCTATCGAGGTGACAGATGCCAAGCAGCTGACTGGGAGCGGGGGCTCCTTCCCCACGGACCCCCTGCAGAGGGGAAAGCGAGGACGTGACTCAGAGAACGTGCCTCTGGGGGAAAACGGGAGAAGGGGGGAGTGGATGGAGAGTGGGAGAAAGGAGGGGCTTGCCAGGCTCCGCCCACCGCCTAGGCGGCCGGCTGCAAAGGTGCTGAGCTCAGCACTTTGGCGGCGGCAGGGGGTGGGGGCGGGCCACCACGGGCCGACACTTCTCTGGAGAGGGTCTGGGAAGGATCGAAAGGGAGGGAAAGGCCACGGAGGCCCTCCCAGCCCTGGGGCTGTGAGGGTGGGGTCGTGCTAACAAAGCGGACTCTGTAGGGGTGGAGGGTAGGGGGGTGAGGTTGGGAGGGGGGCCTTGCATGCACACGCAACCTAAAGGATGGTGGGGGTGGGGTGGGGGTTTGTGTGAGTCATCACCTTAAGCCCTCACTTAGCCCCAGTAACCTACGAAGTCAGAGAGGCCAACCTCTGTGTTCTCTGACCCAGAATTTACTTCGCGCTGGGGTGGGGGTGGGGGATGGGGCGCAGGGAGGGAGCTGGGCCTGCAGTCTACCATCAACTTACACCCCCAAGTCGTGCAGACAGGGACTTTAAAAGTTCCAGGCGACCTTGAGGAGAGCAGGGCAGATCAGCTGGGCAGAGCCAGTAAGCCAACTCTTGGTCCCCACCTGGCACCAAGGGCTACCAGGCTAATTGGGTGGGTGGCTATTTTTGAGCTGACCTACATACCTATTTGCCTCTTTATCTTTTTATTATTGCACAGTTATTATCGGCGCTTTTCTGTGGGACACCATGCGGCTGTGGTGTTTGCCCAGGCTGCACAGTGAGGCCTCAGGCACCACCGTCTCCCTGGCCCAGGAAGTTTTAAGAGTGTCTGGGGCTGGAAAGAAGGGCATCCATAGGCCTGAAGAAGCTTCCCCAAGCTCTTCCCCAACCTTGGCGTTCCAGCCCTGCAGGCAGAGAACCAGACTCAGGCTGGACAGTGGTATTACCTCTGCCGGCCTAAAGCGGTAGGTCTGGTTCCTTGACAGGGTGACCCTATGGTTCTGCAGCCCAGAACTGTGGCTTTCCTTACCGATGAGGAAGCAGCGAGGCCCAGAGATGAGCTGTGGGTAGAAACTGGTTTAGGATTTACTGTTTTAAGAGTAGATGGCCCCCACCCACCCACCCAACTGTTTATTTTACCTTTGTTCAGGCCTCACTAAAGCCTCCCTCTCCAAGCCTTTTAAGAGTTCCTTCTGGTCTGGAGAGCAAGTCTGGCTTCTTACCTCAGCCGAGCAAACCTCCAGGGCAAACCCTTGCCTATCTTGAGATTCATCCCCCTCCCACAGCCCAGGAGCGGGGAAAGCACACATGGTTCCAATTACCTCTGAAACGCTCTTAAATTTTCCATAAAGTTCAGTACGCACGGCCTCGTGCACACAGCTTTGCACAGGAACCTGGATGTTCAAAATACACACAGCCACTAAGGTGGATCATAAAGGGTAAGGATATAATTTCCAATATTTTTAATTGCGCTAAAGAGAGACTGACGAACAGACCTGAGGTTGAGATGGGCAGAGACAAAACAGGTTTCTGTCGGCTGTCACCTGCTGCCTCTCTAGGAATCTGCTGCACAACCCCCCCCACCCCCCCAAAATCTTTGGTCCCTGAGAAGAGTGGAGGGAAGGGGGATGATTTTGCAAGCATTGTTTTTTTTTCATTCCGAGTTCTCTTTCTCTCTCTTTTAAAGTGTGTGTGTGTGTGTGTGTGTGTGTGTGTGTGTGTGTGTGTGTGTTGCACACACACTACACCTTGTGGAGGTCAGAGGACAACTTGTGGAGTTGATTCTCTCCCCTCCACCTTTATGTGAATTCTGGGGATCAAACTCAGGTCTTGGGGTTTGCACAGCACGCGCCTTTCCCCCATCGGGCCATCCTGCTGGCCCTTCCTTCAGCTGGATTTTTTTGTTCAGTGGTGTCATAATTGACTTGGTCAGGACCCGTGCCTTGGGGATTAGCGTTCCTTCCTCTTGCTCTCAATTCTTCCCCAGCCTGCTCTTCCTTCCCCATCAGTTAGAGTCAACCCACTGTAGCCATGCATTTGAAGATGTAATCTAGAGATGAAGTGTGTTGGAGGATGGGCATGAGATACATGCAAGAATAATTTTAGGTAAGAGAGTTGAGCATCAGGGGATTTTGGTAGAGGGGAAGTGAGGAACCTACAACCTTTGCCCCATGGGTATCAAGGAATGCTTGTGTTCTTTCCAGAGGTCCTTTCTATGGAATAGCTGCTACCCAGCTTGTCTTGAACC